AAGAATGAAAATGTTTGAGATATTACTAGAATTGCCAAAATATGATACAGAAACATGAAGTGAGCAACTGCTGTTGGAAAAATGGTGCTGCCGCCAGCTGGGGGCAGTTCTGGAAGGTCTTTGTGCTCTTGTGCAGCGCCAAGCTGCCACAAACCATCGATTGGTAAAAAAAACTCAGTACCTGCAAAGTGCAATAAAGTGCAATAAAACGAGGTGTGTCTGTATCTCCTTAGCATACAACTGAAGTCAGGAATATGATAAAGGCTATGAGCCACGGCCTGGCTCGCCGTAGGGGTGCTCTAGCCAAGGAGGGGCGCCCATGGGACCTGCCTCTCCCGAGATTGTCCTGGGCAGAGGGTGAGAGTCAGCAGGCAAGGGCCCGTCTCCGGGAAGTGGAGGGCTGGATTCCAGGCGGGGCTCCCTTTGGTGATCCCTACCCTCACACCAAAAGGCAGGAGTTTTTACATCACAGCCAACTCTTTCCATGGAATCAAAATCAGATGGGTCACGAGAATTCCAGAGGCGCAAATTATGTCCTAAATAAACATAAAGCAGACCTGTCCTTACTCCAGTATGGCAGGGGGGTGTGATACGCTTCCTTAATTACAGAGATTCCTAAAAATAGCAAAACTTGCCATTAATCAATAAAGGTACTTCATTCCGTGGGCGGATGTAAGTGCCAAGAGGCAGGAAAGAGATACTGGCAGAGAGAGAGGGGGTGATGGGGAATAGACTCTAAATTTTTGGCAACTGATTCTAATCATAAAAAAGTGCTCAAGACAATACAGGTAAAGGAGAGAAGAAGGGAAAGGCAGGGCGCAGGTTCTGGAAGGTCTTATGTGAGAACCGAGTGATGCTGAGTTATAATTCTGTGGCCGGCAACACCCAGGGCTAAGGGGACACGGGGAAAACCTACCCTCCCTTCTGGTAAAATTCCCCAAGGTCTTATAGTTAAGCAAGGAGACAGATTAACTTTTAAGGTCAACCTTTTGACCTAGGAGACCAAAATAAGTCAACCTTGCTATTCTTTGGGGCCTGTAACGTTATAAACCCCATTCTGAGACCTAAGGCAAGTCAGTGGGAAGTGTAATGACATACTGGGATAAATTCTAGCTAACAAACAGGAGGGCACATGGTCATTCATTAAGTATCTACCGTGACCCAGGGCCTCTCCACGTCAGCTCTTATGCTCTTTGATGCAAATTTAGGCAAACAAGTGCCCTTGAGGAGACAGATCAGAGAAAGAGAACAGAACTGCTGACCTCACGGTTTTCCCAGCAGCAGGCCAGTTTATGTTCACTCATACTGGGTGCAAACAAAGGTCCACAGGGCAGTATTTGTGTGCACAAGCAAGAATCTGGTCGGAGCGTGATTTGGGCCGAGAAGGGAGAACACTGAGGTAGGCGAGGCTGATCCATCTTGGGTGAACCAGCAAGTCTACACACACATGCATTTCTTGGCAGAAGAGAGAGTTGTCATCAGATACAGCATGTCCCAGGAGCACAAGATGGCACGCACCTGGGCGGGCAGGGATCCGTGTTACAGGCCCGGCTCATTGCTGGAGGACGGTGGGCCGTATCACACAAGGTGTCGTTGACTGTCTGCTGGGTCTGGGTGTGCAAGCACACTGCTATGGCTTCCTGGCGCCCTGCAGGTTGCAAAGAGAAAACAATGTAAATGACTTAGAATGACTTACTGCGGGGGGAAAAAGAGAAGAGGCTCTTGGGCTTCTGGTTCTGAAGCCACTGCCCCTTTGACCACAATGCATGGCTGTAGGCTGCCTTCCGGGCACAGATGGGAGAAAACAACCGCTCCCATTTTTCCAAAGGCTCCCAGTCTCTGATATTCTCTCAGTCTCCTTTTAAACTCAGCCCCTCTCTT